GTATACAACTATCTTTAACAACTAGTATATATCTGTGTACTCTAGAGTCTATATAAGCTAGGTTTTCCCTTATTTTTCCACGTGCACAAACCCTCGGAGCCTCTGCTATCAACTAAAGCCAAATACTGTACTGTACATCATGATCTATATAGGGTGATGTATGCAAATTAAGGCTTCAGCGATGGACATCATTCTGATTGTGATTGGTGGTTTGAACTCACCGTGCTGTGGCTAGCGTAGCGGAATCTACATGTTAAATTTCAAAAACCCTTTCACGTTCACCCACCCTACCTTTCTGCCAAATACATGAGGTGTGGATTTAGAAGGGGTAAGGTAAGTTTGTCCTGTCGCTGAAAAAAAGAAAAATATAAGAAAAACAAATAATTGGTCGCCTAATACGCCTCAGAGGTTATTTTTGGTCGTCTAGAGAGTAAAGTACTAGAAAACAATGCTATATATATATATATAATGTAACTTGAGTGGATGGCTTAAACCAGATCATGTAGACAAGAGCGCTCAATGCAGTATATAGCAGAGCAGATAGACAGATAAAACATGTAAAACTGGGTTAAGGACTCAACATTTCATTGCACTAAAGTGTTACATGTTTTATTTGTATATATATATATATATATATATATATATATATATATATATATATATATAAATCAAGAGAAACAATATAATATATAGCGTTAACAATATATAAACATTTATAAATATACTGTATATATCTTTACCGGTATGAGTTATAAATATGAAATTAAATTTTATGTCAATGTATGTAATTGTTTATAGCAAATATATTGTAACACTATTAAAAATCAGTGGCGTATCCAAGGGAGGCGTGGGGGGGGGGGGGGCGCACGAAAACTTCGAAGCAAAAAAAAAATAGGCTAGGCTTATGCTCAAGAAAATGGGTTAATGCTTTCTCAACTTCCCTTTATTGACGTTCATCAAAACACATCAAATACTGCGTTCAAGAGATATGCTTTAACATATCTGTCACGGTTAACGTGTATTCGGGAATCTAAGAAGCAATATTTTTCAGTGGGCGTGGCCACCGAAAATAAATTCCACGCCCCCTCATATTTGGGTCGCGCCCCCGAATGTTGCCTCGGACCAAATTTTTCCTGACAGTCCAACTGGACCGTACTCACTTGTGGCGTATCACAGGGAACAATTCTTGCTAATTTGGTTTTCCTTGTTGTTATTAAGGATGCCCTTCATGGCTCAAATTAAATTGGTGTTTCGACCTGGAAGTACGTCGATGACCTCACTATTATGTGAACATATTAAAATAGGTGGAATTGGCAAGTCAATTAGGGTCTTTCAATATTTTAAGGATTTAAGCGCTTAGGAAAAAAACCTCACACACACACACCCATACATCTGATAATAACTTACCTTAGAATAAATATTTACATTTGTGGTTGACATGTTATGAAATTTGAGGTAAAAATGGAAACTTTACATTTGTAGGTGAAATGTTTCTACATTTGTAACATGAGTATTGAATCTACTAGGACCACTTCAATTTAATCGGCTGACGATTTATTATCAACTTTTGCAAATAATTCTGAAAACAAAAAGGACAGGAACAGATGCATATCTCTCAAAAGATCACCCATTTTACAGCTGTCAGGGGTCACAAGTCTCCCGCAAAGAGCCTCCCAGAAATTGGGAAGGCCTCCCGCACCCCCGCAAGCAACCCACACTCTCACGGAAAATAGCACATCTCCTGCAAATTCAAAACATTTGCATGATTTTAATACTTTATCATTTTTCTTACTGAACTCAGTACCGATGGGTCACACCGTGCGCAGCAAAATAACGTTAAATATGTTAACCAGATCTCGCAGAAGTGACTCTTCCAACTGGGAACTGGGGACCCCTAAAATGTACAGCCTTTCAACCCTCGCATGCCCCTCCCTTAGATACATCATTGGTATCACAGTAGATTTGTATCTAAGGTGCTGTACAAACAAACAAGTCAGTCGTTTTATTCTAAGAACAGAAATCCTCATAATAAAGAAGATATTTTTTAGTGGTCATGTGTTGTCTGAATGGATTAGCAATACATTGTTCATTCTAATCATTTAGATAACTACTTTGTAGTTTGTGGCACAATGAAATTGAATTGAATGTAAATATAGAATGGAAATTAAAAAGTTATTGTCATCAGTCGTTATATTAACCAAATAAACAATGCCGACACTGCATTAAATTTTGACGGTTTCATACTGAATTTGAATGAAGTTGAATTAAATGTAAACATGGAATGGCAATTAAAAAATATTGTAATCAGTCGTTATAGAAACCAAATAAAAAAATGCATTAGTTTTCTAGGAAATAGTGAACAGTATAACAGATGATATGATTTCATTCTTTAACACTGCATTCAATTTAGATGGTTGGATTAAATGTAGACATGGAATGGCAATCAAAAATTTATTGTCATCAGTCGTTATGGAAACTAAATAAACAAATACATTAGTTTTTGAGGAAATAGTGAACATTATAACAAACAGAATTTTATTCTTAGACACTGCATTGAATTTGGACGGCTTCATACTGAATTGAGACTATAAAAGTTACAAAGGAAGCAACATTGTAAGAACTTCTAACCAACGCCTGTAGAAGCTTTCAGAGGAGCCACAAACCAAAGGTAAATAAGAAAAATTCATGATTTAAATCATAAATAGCACAGAGACGTATTATACAAAAATATAGTGCTATTATGCGAGGAAAAAGTGTTGTTACTGTTGGAAAGAACAGCACGCCCATTGCTGTAGCAGGCACGTCACTGCTGTATTTTTGTCCATATTTAAACATTTTATTGCACATTTGTGTATCGCATAATTAAAAAAGAAAATATATTTGCAAACCAAAAAGTGCAGACCTGGTAGAAAAACATTATTAATGCAAGCTTTTAGCACTACGAGGGGCATTGGTAAAAATGATTTATCATTACTATTCTGGTAATTTATATGTTGAATATTACGATGTTTGTTGTCGACAGGATCACAAAGGCAATTAGTACACACCACTAGATAGAAACTGTAAAAGAATTTAATGTACATTCATTCATAGATTTTATCGCTTAAATTCTTTGAAACCGTTTGCAAGGCTTACGCCAATTTCTAGAACTGTAACAACCACTCTCAAACAGACGCTTATTAAACATAAAATTTTCCGTTTTGAGGTTTATTATATATTGTATATATTTCTAATAAGCGCTGCGGAGTTGGCAAAAAAAAAATATTGTTGGTGTGGTGCACTTGTTTTTTAAACGTTAGTTCACTGGCAGTTAATACTTATTCATTTGTGAAGGATACAGGGCCTCATCGAATAAAATTTCGGTAGATATTATATTATATATTATATTTTATAATCCTTATCCACAATGACCAAACTTGACGCACTTGACCTAATTTAGACATGACATTTTTAGATTTAAATATAAGTTTCCTTCTTTTCATTTTTAGAAAAATATGGAATACGTTTGGCTGTTTTTCTGCACACTAATTTGCGTACATTTTAATCACGTCTCAACAAACTCCTCCCCCAAAATGACTACAATTATTGCAACCACACCATCATCAACAACTGGAGACACCACAGCAGGCTGGAATACAACCACACCAGACAATGGATCCAACAGATTATCTGGTGGTGCGAAAGCCGGCATTATTTGTGCTTCAATATTTGTATATTTTGTGGGACTGTGATTGTTGTACCTTGTTTAAGAATAAAAAATCTAGCCAAAATAACGCCACAGGCTTAACCATTTACATAGAAGCCGTACAAAAAAAACAAAACAATTAACACAAAATATGTTCGATATGTTAAATATTTTTGTGGTAGTAGTAGTAATAGAATTTAAGGTGTTTGAAACATTTAATTGCGGTAATTAAGCTATGGGAATTGGATGAACATTTTCCAACAGAACGTTTTGGTTTTGGCTTAAGGATAATGATGAAGGCATAATGATAATAATTA